GGAGAGAGATGGCAAGACAGAGGAGGAGGAGGGGTTGATGATTATGAAGAGAGGAGGAGGTGGAAGAGGAGAATGATAGAAAGGAGGAGGTGGAGACAGGTGCATGAGAGGAGGAGGAAAATGATGATGATGATTACGAGGAGGAATGATCATGAATGCTGAGGTAGAGGAGCAGGAGGATGAGACAGGAATGAGGAGGGAGGGATGATTTAAAGGAGAATATTGAGGAGGAGGAGTAGAGACAAGGAGAAGCAAATATTGCTTAGGAGGCAGACGACAGAGAGAGCTGAGGAGGAGAGAGATGCTGATCAGGAGGAGGAGGAGGGGGGCAGTTGCATCGTTGGTGTGCGGCGTAGCGTTGAGTGGCTGCGTTAGCCACTTAACCGCTCAACTGCTGGGCGGGCGTGTAGGGGTGGGGGGTATCGGATTGGGAGGGGGTGGGGGGGGTCCCTGTGAAACGGAGCAGGAGGAGAAAGCGCTGAGTCGGGTGGCGCTCTCCCTCCTCCCACGTTCTGCCCACTCAGCGCCGATCCAGGAAACTCTGCACTATTGTTCCCTGCCCGTTCCTAAAATTATGCTTTTATTTTATTTTGCGTTGAAAGTGACTCCGTTCTCCTACGCGATTTCCTATTTGACAAAAAATAATAATTACAAAAATCAGTATGAGGTCAAGGCGCAGCCCTGCAATGTCTCGCTCCCACCACTGCCGCCGAAGGAAGGTTTTCCACTCCAGCCAACTCACCCCACGCGTGGCAGTAGAGTGGGTGTTACCCATGCGTTACCCCACCACACGTTACCCCACCACACGTGAACACGACCTGGCAATCGGCACACTGCGGTGTACCCACGTGTACTGTGGGGGTGTGGCGGAGTGGGGGAGTCGGGGGCGAGGGGATTTAATTAATCTGGTCTACTCTTTCACGCTGGACAGACATCTTTGTCCCAGGTGGGAGTACCCACACTTTACCCCATGAAGCACGATCTGACCCCTGTGATTTTGGTTTCCCAATGATATTGTCGGGGGGACAGAGGTGGGGGGGGAGGGACTTAGGAAACTTGCTCCATCGTTTCAGCTGCCGGGGCGGGAGATTAAATCGAACCGGCGACCTCTGGATTACAAGTCCAGGGTGCTAACCGAATTCACGGAGGTGAAATTAAAGAGAGAGCAAGCAGAGAGAAAAGAGAGAGAGAATAAAAAGCCGGGACTCTGTAGAAACCCGCGGTGAATTAACCGCACGGTACTGACAAAGCGCCGCGTGGCCCCCAGGTGCCGGCGTTAATGTGATTGAAATGCTGACAGATTTCTTTTTTTTTATTGTTAATTAGTTAATGTGCTTGCCTGCAGTTTTTAAACTTTGATTTTCAGCCGAAACCCACTTAAAGCCATGCCGACGGGTTCTCGGTGCCCACCCAACCGCGGTGCCCTTGGTCACCCTGCGTCTCCCACCGCCATCCTTACACTACGCCCCCCCTCCGCTACGCCCCCAACCACGAGGAGCCTGAGCGGAAAAGCGAGGAGGGTGGTGGCGGCGGTGGCTGCGTGAATGAAGGTCGCGGCGATCTGAATGAATCGGAGCGGGGGATTTGGCTTAACACCGTCATAGCTGAGGCGGGGTGTCTCATTCATTAATTCAAAGATGGACTCATTCATTTCATTCATTTAGCTGTTCATTCTCTTCCTCATTTTCAGTGTTGATGCAGTCACGTGTCTGCCGACTCCATTGGTTGCCCCCCCCACCATTAATTCATGGAATGCCCCGTTCATGAATTAATGTATTGACTTGTTCATTCACTGATTCATTCAGTTAATTATTTGAGTATACATGCATTGAAGTATTCACCTGTTGGGTGGGGTGCTCAGATCTTTGAAATGTAATTCACTCTTTTCATTTCACCATGAATTTTTCTCATTGAACTATTCACACAATCATTTATTTTAGCTGTTCAGTGGGTTGTATGTATGTATGTTTAATGTCCTTCACACCGTACGTAGCCAACCGTGATAATCGGAGGTGCGGGGGAAGGACAACAAACTAAACACAAAAAGCAGTTTTGAAGTAGTAATGAGTTTTCAATCTATATTTAAAAAGTGCGTAGCTCCAGTGGCTTCCTAATATCGGAAGGAAGAGTGTTCCAAACGACCGCAGAAGCACATCTGAAAGCGCACGATGCAGTGACCATCTTTGTTTAATGACTAGCCAAAAGCCACTGTGAGGATCACCGGAGTTCGCGTGATGGTTTATATTCCTTGACGAGATCAGTAAGGTATTGTGGCTCATTTGTGGCAAACGCTTTGCGTGTAATGATTGTGAAACCAATGCAGCTCAGCGAGCACTGGACAGACATGGTCGGATCTTGCAGTACCCGTCACGAAACGTGCCAAATTATTTTGTACATGCTGCAGCTTGGTAATGTTTTTGGCAGATGTCCCGTAGAGTGGTGAGTTGCAATGATCGAGCTTTGTTGATACTATGCTATCCCATTCACTCATTCAATCAGCCTCTCATTCATTCACTCACACATTCAATAAGTAATTCACCATGTTTATTTTAGTGGATGAGAACTCACTCTCTGGTCGTGCCCCCCACCACCACCACCACCACTTTACTCGCATGATCGCCCCCCAGCCATGCTGCACCTCACGCATAGAGTTGCCACCTCTAGCGTGGAAAAAAAACCCAAGCGTAAATATATTTACGCGAGAGAAAAATATCTCACAATACCAGGAGAGCAGATGACTATGTGCAAATGCAATGCCTGAAATGGTTTTATTATTACGCAACATATATATACAAAAATTGTATCAATGTCCACGGGAATACTAAAGAGTATTTCCCAGGACAGCTTCTGCAAAGAGAGGGCGGTCCTGGGAAATCCAGGACAGGTGGCAACCCTACCGCGGTGGGGGGGCGGGGGGGAGCGGGGGCTCCTTTAAGCCTCTCGCTCCTGCGGGACCCATCCGCAGCAAGCTGCTGCATCGCCTCTGAGCGTCCTCTGCAGACCTACTTCACCTGGCACGCGGCAAGGCCAGCGCCGGGCAGATGGACACGCAGAGGCGTGCGTGCGTGCGTGGGTAGATGGGTGGGTGGGTGAGCGGGTGGTTGGGTTGGGTGGGAGGGTGGATAGGCGGGTAGGTAGTAGGTGGACCTTCCGCAAGCCAGATTACGGTTGAATGCACGCATTTAACATGAAGGATCTTAGCAGGCATGTAATGGTTAATTGAACCGTGGGTTATATCCGGGTGCTCAGGTGGTTTGTTGGGTGACCGAATAGATGTGTGGGTAGGTTCGTAGGTTAGAAGGTGGTTAGGTGTGTGTGTCGGAGGGTGGGTGAGTGGGTGGGTTAATGGGTGGGCGGGTAGATGGGTTGCGTGGGAGGGTGGGTAGATGGCTACATGAGTGGGTGGATGCATTGGTTGGTTGGTTTAATGTTTGGGAATTAGGTTAAAACATCATTTTTAACTATACACATCAAATGGTGGGTCATGATTGTGTGTGTTGGTGGGGGGGGAGTTGGTGCGTGGGTGTATTGGTTAGAGGGTGGTTAAGTGCGTGAGTCAGAGGGTAGGTTTGGGGTTTTGGTGGGTGGATGAGTGGGTTTCTGTGGGTTAGTGGGTGGGTGGGTTGGTAGGTTCGAGGGTGGATAGGTGCGTTGGAAGGTAGCCAGGTGGCTGAGGTGTCAGAGCACTGAGCCACCACCACTATGATCCTGGGTTCGAATCTGGAATTCAGTCGCCAGTGATTAAACCGGGTTAAGTCTGTATGTATGTATGTTGAACCTATTTTGCATCTTCCTTATCCAACCATGCTAACAAGTTGATGTTCTCAGCCTGGTCACCGATAACTGCACAAAAAGAAACCCCTGACATTAAATTCATCTCTGCACTTATGTTACCTCTTTTCAGCTCTTGAGGATTACAAAACCAAATAGTTGAATTGACATGAAGTGACAAACACCGTTTGCAAGGACATACATGAATAAAAGAGGTTTACTGACAGTGACCTCCGAAGAAATTCTCTGACAATCTTACAGGCACCGTTCTCTGACACTGGGTGATGCACTGCTAGCTGCGAAGGGTCGAAATGTCCTTGTCTCTCTGTAACATGACGTAGCGATGGCACAATCCGGATACAAGTTGGGTGGGGGGAGGGGGTAAAAAAACTCATCCTTTCGTTTCCTCCCTGGCGAGGCCTCTCCCCTCCCTGCAATAAACAAGACTCTCCGCCCACACGCACGTACAGGAATTTAATTAAGCGCATTCGTCGGCAGGAACTTTTATTATTGGAGAATTGAAATAACAGAGCGGAATTGACGAACGGCCTGTGACGTGACGCAAGGGGGTTTCTGCCCTGACCTCCGGGGTGAGAGTACACCCTGAACCGTGATTGTCTCCGTCAGCCGTGCTCAGTCCACTGCTGCTTGAAGTTCTCCCCAAGCCGCCCGCCCAGCCCATCTCTCTAGGGTCCTCCGACGCAAACATTCCATTTGGTACCCCGCCGCACGGGTCGATCGCGTCGCTCCGTCCTTTTGCTGGCACTCCCGTCGTCGCTCTCGACAGCGGTCCGTCACCGATCGCCGCCGTGATGTGTCCTGCCCAAGCTCACTTGATTTGTCCTCGCAGTCCGTATCATGTCTAGAATATGCGCGTGTTCTCTGACTCGTCGTGGTCCCCGGCGTTTCACTCCGTGTGCCAGCATGTGAGAGAGAGCGGAGAGAGCTGTACAGGCTCAATTCCAGCTTAGCCTTCCAAGATCTGACAACAGTTCAGTTTCCAACGAAGCTCCCAGCACTTGGAGCGAAACGTTGGACATCGTGCCGAACGACATGCGGTGGCATCACACGGTAACCCCGGACGAGTGGTAAAAAGTTGAACCCTGGGGTGCGCAGGTCAACACAGTTATGAGAAGTCTGCAGGGTGACTTGGGGAGCAGCTAACAAGTCTCCCCCCTTCTCCCACCCCCTCCCCTCCCCGACCTCCCCTCCCTCCCCTCTCCGCCTAGAAGATGGAATGGCAGTGGGGATGCTGGCCGGCGCGGCGGGGGATAAACAGCACAGCCTTGCCAGCCTCGCTCAACTCCACGCAGACTTCCCAGCCGCCGCCTTCCTCTTCCCAGACGGGCTGTCCTCCACCGAGACCCTGCTCACCAACATCCAGGTACGGACCTTCGTGCCGCCCGCCCGCCCGCCCGCCTGCCAGCCTGCCCGCCCGCCTGCCTGCATGACTGCGTAACTGCCTCCCTCGCAACAGCCGTAGCTCATTGGTCGCTCCAGGTTGAGGAAGCTGCAAAGTCCGCCCCGGGTTTTCCAGTCGCGGGTGGTAGTAAGCGGAATTCGCCGATAGTGATTACTCGCAGAGAGACCCGCAGACTCGTATAGAGACGCACTGACACGCAGAGAGCCACTGACTTACATAGACACGCACTGGCTCGCAAACACTCTCCCCTCACAACACACTCCTCACTCCTCACCCCTCACTCTTCACCCCTCACCCCCCACTCCTCATCCCTCACCCCTCACCCCTCGCCCATCACTCCTCACCCCCCACCCCTCACCCCCCACTCCTCACCCCTCACCCCTCACTCCCCACTCCTCACCCCCCGCCCCTTACCCCCTGCCCCTCACCCCTTACCCCCCACCCCTTACCCCCCACCCCTCACCCCTCACCCCCCACCCCCCACCCCTCACCCCTCACTCCTCACCCCTCACCCCTCACCTTTCACGCCTCGCCCCTCACTCCTCACCCCCATCCCTCACCCCCCACTCCTCACTCCTCACTCCTCACCCCTCACCCCTCACCCCCCGCCCCTCACCCCGCACCCCCCCACCCCTCACTCCCCACTCCTCACCCCTCACTCCTCACCCCTCACCTTTTACCCCTCACCCCTCACCCCTCACCCCCCACCCCTCACCCCTCACCCCCCACCCCTCACCCCTCTCCCCTCACCCCTCACCCCTCACCCCCCACCCCTCACCCCTCACTCTTCTCCCTGCATTCCTCACTCCCCACCTCACTCCTCACCCCTCACCCCTCACACCTCACCCCCTCACCCCTCACCCCCTCACCCCTCACTCCTCACTCCTCATTTCACAAAACACTCCTCACCCCTCACTCCTCTCCCCTCACAACACACTCCTGACAACACACTCCTCACTCCTCACATCTCATCACAACTCTCATCCCACCATGCAGACTCAGCTGCAAGTTCACCACAATGCCTTCTCATCTCACTGCACGCACACACCATCACGCGGGAGCTGCTGCGTTTGGCGGGACATGGAGTCCGTACTGCGCGAGAGTAATGAGCCTCCGTGCGTAACCACTCATTTACACAGTCAATAAATCATGGCCTGCTGTGCCGTGGCACACAGATAGCAAACGCTTTGCAGGGTTTAACAAGAGCATTTATTAATAGGCGAATGGACGGGCAGACGAACGAACGAACCCATGAGCGAGTGGAACGGGCGGTCCTAGACGGACCGTGCTAGCCACGTGGGTCACATAACCAGAGCCCCTGGCAGTGCCCGGGCGATCCCGTGATGTCATGTAAACGATTACGCCACCGGTTATTGGTTCGACTGCTCGGCTAATCGGAGAAGGCTGCCTCCGTGCAGAACTTGGTTGCGAGCCTGAGCGAACGGTTGTGCAGCTTAGAACCGCTCTCGAAACCGCACAATTTAAAATCGCCCGTAACTGCTTTGTCCGTATCTGAGCGAGGAGTTGCACAACAACAAAGATGTGTCTGAGCGTAGCTAAAGTGCGCTGGTCTCACCCTCTGCACCATGTGGTGGGGGGGGAGTGGTAATTTTTGTCTTTAGTGTGTGCCTGCACGTGGTAACGTGCGTGCGTAACGTGCGTGCGTAACGTGCGTGCGTGTGTGACGCGCGTGTGTGTAACGTGCATGCGTGACGTGGCGTGACGTGGCGTGACGTGCGTCCCAGGGCCTACTGAAGGTGGCGGCCGACTCGGCGCGGGCGCAGGACAAGCAGGCGCAGCTGGAGAAGTCGGAGCTGCGCATGGAGATCCTGCGGGAGCGCGAGGTGCGCGAGGCCCTGGAGAGGGAGCTCGCCACCGAGCAGCGCAACCGCGGTACGACGCCGCCGCCGTCGTCGTCGTTGTCGCACGGGTTGCACACGCGCGCGCGGTTACGCAGTTTCAATTCAACCTCAATGTTTTTTTGTTGCACGGAAGATCCCGTGTAGCCAGTTCCCTAGCTAGTTGTTAACGCTAGAACAACAACGACATCGTCAGAGGGGTACACTCCGCTGCTCCTGATGTGGTTATCTGGCTTGACCATCTGCATGTGAAAAGTTATTGCTCTGCATCTTACTTCAGCCATATGATAGAAGAAGAAGATGAATATCACAGCGATCCGCGCGGAAGAACGGGCAACATCGGAACAGGGCGCGTCGGAGGTGCAGGCTAGAATAATGCGCCGGGAACAAACCGTAACAATATTAACGATATAAACACAGGCACGTTGCACCGACAACCGGGATGTGGTAATGAATGCTCGTAGGGGAGATGAGTAGAGGCGAAACGAATGCGGCCGAGCGAATAAAACAACAGCTATCGGGCAAAAGCGACGAGTCGCAGCAGGGTTGAGCACGGTGATTGCGATGTCGATGGTGGAGTTGCGTGTTTTTGACGGAAGCCGTCCACCTTCCCGTACGCCGGGGCGTCTCGGAGCGCTTCACATTGGGCGTTCCCCCTCTTCGCGAAACAGTTTGAAAGGGCATCCCAGGTGGCAGCCGTGTCCCCGTAACACGACACGCAAAAAGAAAAAACACTCGTAAAAAGCACACGGCCTTTGTGCGTTATGCATGTGTGCGGAACTTCTTTTGCACCGTACATAGCCAACCGTGCTAATCCGAGGTGCGGGGGAAGGACAACCAACTTCACATAACAAGCAGAACAAATATGTTAGAAAAGCAGTTATGCCAGGTTTTATGCGTTTTTATGCCTTGTTTCAAGCATACGGTTTTCCAGACCTGCACTGTCATTCTATTGCTTAGGAGTTTTTTCATCGTACTACAGATTTGATTATTGGCGCCATCAGCTCGGCTGACATGGGCCCGGTAGCGTGGAAGTGGGGACTCCACATAAAAAGTTTCCAGAGGCCGACTTTGCAGCAGTGAGCATTGGTGACTGTACTATACTGTGCTGATGAGTGCTAATGAGGACGAAACCGGTCCACATAGTCGGCGATGACTACTTCACTGCCGTCGCCACCACCAATTATTTTGATGGTAACCGATAGACATGTGGGACCACAATGCAATGCTTCTTCAGGAGCCCGCCTGATGGCATTGTTTTCTTTACACAATGCACAGTTTGGCTGCGTTACTCTTTTTTATTTTCGTTCGTGTGTGTGCGCGCGCGCGTGTGTTTATGCGTTCCCGTTGTGCGCGCGCGTCTGTTTCGCAAACTGTGCGCGCACGCGCAGAACTCGTGCAGAAGCGTCTGAAGAAGGAGAAGAAGGCCAAGAGGAAGCTGCAGGAGGCGCTGGAGTTTGAGGGCAAGCGGCGGGAGCAGGCCGAGCATGCGCTCACGCAGGCCACCAACCCCGACGGCCTGCGTGGCCTCGGAGGTGAGCTCGCCTCCATGCGCCGAGTCTCTCCGGGGTTTCCTCTTTCCCTTCTCCTCCTCCCTCCCCGGTGTGACATGATAATGTATGCTCGACTTGTACGGACAACATGGTCGCCCGACGTTTGCACGGCACCACTGTTTAGATTTAAAGCTTTCGTGACTGCAGGGATTCATCTTCTTGGTTCTTTCGGTAAAGTGACTTTACCGAAAGAACCAAGCAGAGGCACCACTGTTGTCGACAGGACAAACGGGAGAGGGATGTGATACAACAATGTGGATTGTTTGGCTGCTGCTGCAGACGCAGCTGCGCTGGCAGGGCAGGTGGCATCCCGAGCCACCAGTGGGAAAGTGAGACGGAGACAGAGCTGAATTATCGGTAACATTAAACATTATGTTGGTGATGCTGCTGCGTTAGGAGTGGTGCACAAGTACAGTTAACAACACTCAACACGTTCCGTGCCAATAATAACACTGTGGTGTTATAGTGACAGATGGCGTCGGCTTGCCGAGGGAGGCCCGAATCCAGCAGTGGAAATGCTGCTACTGCTGCTGATGCTGCTGCTGATGACAGTGACCCTAATTTTAAACCGAAATATTCGGGGGAAGAAATATTCATTTATATTTTAACTAAGTTTCTGCCTAGAAGCCTCCGTGTAAATGCCAAGAAAACGCAACACATTTTGTCAATTGCCCTGTGTGGCCTTAATCGGAAAAATCTATAATCGGCGACGTTTTGGGCAATGACCCTTCTTCTTAGCACTTGAAGAAGAATGGCTCTTGCCCAAACACTCCGAATATTTATTATATACCTTTCCTTTGAAGGCCACAGTGTTTTCAATACGTGGTTCTGCATCACCTGATGGACTCTAGGCCAATGGAGCTTCGAGAGGAAGGTGACCGACCGACCTTGAGTGGGGTGCAGGCCCCTTTCCTGAACTGGGCAACCGTTGGGAGAGAAAGCGGAGAAATTCCCATGAGACCCAACATTTCCAATCTCCTGCTCGTCCCCGAAGGCCCGCCTGCATGACCGTGTTGTTGCGAGTTAATCTCTCTCTAATAAGGCATTTCACAAAATTCATAAATAAGGCATTAGGAAAAAGAGACGTTTAGAGATTTCATCCGTCTGTTATTCTAATGTGTACATATATATGAGGTAACCAGTCAGGATGCCACTAGAGTGCCAATTTTTTCGGACCAAATCCGGACATATGTTTCAGTCAGCCTAGGTATTTCAAAACTTTGCAGTAGACTGTAATGAAGTTCAACGCAATGCCACCAGATCTCGGTACAAATCTATCCTTGCCACTCGAACACGGACGTCGTCGGTTCGTAATCAACTACGGCACAAACCGTAGTTGCCACCTCTGATGTACAAAACACCAGGAGACATGTTAAAAAGAAGAATAGCTCACGATAGTGGAAGTGGGGAGAACTATGTGTTAACGTGTCATCTGGAGCGGTGTATTCATTACTATGATCATCAGTATGCAACTGACAAAAACCGGGTCTTTATTGTCCCGGGAAAATGTAAGGACTTCCCAGGATGCAGCTGTGGGCAAGTGAGACGGAGCGAGCCGAATTTGCCGGTGAAATTAATTCAATGATCTGGTGACGCTGCTGCTGCCGCATTGGCAGTGATGTCACAAGCGCAATTACCAAAAACGAACTCCACACACTCATCAATAACAACACCACCTTGTGGCCTTCAATGTAAAAATGGATTCCGTGATTGAGTGTATGTGCTTTGAGAAAGAACCATTGCCCGGACTGTCGCCTGTTGTATACTTTTCCTTTCAAAGCCACGGCGTTATTGACGGCAAAGTGTTGAGTTAGTTTTTTCCCCCCCACTGTGAATTGTCAGTGGTGTGGCAGAAGGAAGGGGGTATACTCTTTAGTTCTTTCGGTAAAGTCACGTAGGTAAAAAATTCAAAAAGTAAAAAAATACAAATAAAATAAAGAATAAAATAAATGAAATCACGATGTTTCGGGTGCAACACAAGCGCTCATTATCAGGTGGGACCACCATAGAAGCTTCTGGCTGAGGTGCCTGAAACGTCGTGATTTAATAGATTTTATTTTAAATTGTATTTTTTATTTTTAAACTTTTATAATTTTCTACCTACGTGACTTTACCGAAAGAACCAAAGAGTATGGATCCTTGCAGTCACGAAAACTTCAAATCTAGAAGGAAGGGGGTGTCTAGGGGGCTCGCTCGGCCGGTGCCTGATGAATATTCTTTCTCTGCGCATGGTTCATTTATGTCCTGAAGAAGAAAAAAAAATGTACATCTTGGAATATTAAGACGTTTTCACACCAAACACGGACGGCAAAAAAAAATTCAAACGTTTGCCATGTGCCGTTGTCTGATGTGAAATTATTAATTTATTATTATCACGGTTGTTGAGCAAAGACCCAAAGTCCCAAAATGTGAAGCCGCCGGCAACAAACAGCACTATTGTGAAAGTTGTAATAGACATGTGTTTCTTAATTATCAGCAAAGTTATTTTCGTAATAGCTTGGGGAAAATAGATGATGCTGAGAGGAGGGGATTCGAGAGTGAAGCAGCATGAGGGACGTGTGTTGCACAAAGAGAAGTGTTTTGACCTACAGTGTGGTGAGTAAGTGGGTGAGTGAGTGGGTGAGTGTGTGAGTGGGTGAGTGAGTGTGTGAGTGAATGTGTGAGTGGGTGAGTGAGTGGGTTAGTGAGTGTGTAAGTAAGTGGGTGAGTGTGTGGGTGAGTATGTGAGTGAGTGTGTAAGTAAGCGGGTGAGTGTGTGGGTGAGTGGCTGCGAGTGTATTGTTGCGACCTGCAGTGTAGTAGTGAATGAACATATACTGTGGACGAGACGAAACAGTCAGTGTCTGCTAGACCTCAACCTCAACATTGGTGGATGAATCAATGAGCAGAGTTCGTGGGGACATTAACCACGGTAGTACCAATAGGAAGAGTGAAACGGGCACGACTAACCACCAGTGAGTGAGAGAGTGACTGCAGTGATACAGTGAGTGCTGGATTATCAGTTAGTTTGACTGCTTTACGGTGACTTCTGTCAAGCACAGTGAGGTAGGACCTGGGTGCTCCATCCCCAGATATGACAGCAGCAGGATTTTAACTTTGACTGAAAATGTAGTTTTGTCCGCTAATTCATAATTTGAATTATCTGCTGCAAACAGAAATCTGCCGCTACGGATTCTCTGAGCGAGGAGCAGAACTCCTTTGAGCAGCTGCCATCGGTGTGGTTGTTAAAGAAATTTGTTGTTGTTGGCAGTAAATGTTTGTAGAAAAAAAAAGCGCGTGTCCGCAAACCATCGCCGGGGCGTTAAGATTTTGACGTAAAACTTGTGGCAGTTTTTGTCATGGAGATAAACTAAAAAAAAGCAAAACGGCAGATGTGATTCCAAAAAATCCACGGCGCCAAATTAAAATGTGCGGGAGGGCTCACTATTCGTGAAGGGCATGTTTATAGGGGGGCGGGTGGGGGGCGCTGGATTGATTTTAATATATTTTCTTCTTCCGTGTTTTTGTTTCGCAAAAAAATGTAAATACCAAGCAGCGCGGCCAAAAAAGGCGATGCCGGGAGAGCGTCCAAGGCTTTAACATTTAGCACCAAAGCCGCCCGGTAGCCCACCCCCCTCCTCCCTGCCCACCCACTCCCCCACTGCCTGCCAGGGGTGCTAGGGAAGGCGACCCAAACACAAACGGATTAGCGCGCCCGCCCAGTCGCCTACTTGCGCGCGTGCGCGCGTGTGCCACGACCCTTCCAGTCATCACTGATCATTGTGTCGGCGCTCTGCCGCTTGCTGCTCACACGCGCGCCCACCGACGACAACAACACCACCACGGTTAAAATACGACACGGAGGCCAATCAAGTAATGTTGCATTAGAGTCTCGTGTGGCCGGCACTGGGGCCCGGATCCTACACTTGGCGTGCACACATAAAAGTGCACTCCGGGTATAAGGGGCCGCACCATAAATGAGAGCCATCCTGCAGTAATGGGTCGTTTAGTTGGAGAGTATAATATTTCAAAGGGAGTTGCGCGGGGTGCGTGCCTGAGTTGTGGGTGCGTGCGTGTGCGCGCGTGTGTGTGTATGTGCATACCTGTGCACGTGTTTCCACGTGTTTGCGTGTGCGCGTGTGTGTTAGTGTGTGCGCGCGTGTGGGGAGCGGTGGCACAGTGGTTCGATTCCCGCTCACCACCAATAACAGTGGTGAATATTTGAACTGGGCCTTAGCTTCCCCTCGTTCGACTGAGCCTTAAATGTGTAACTGGTACAGTGTGTAAACGTCATCACTGGGAAGACAAAGGCGGCCGTGCGTGCTGCTGGCCACTCATCTCCTCCGGCACCGTGTTGGCTTTCATAGGTGCTCGCTAAGAAAATTTGCGCCAAAAGTCCATTGAGGCTTTTGGGGGTCTTTGTCTTTGCATATGTACACGTGTTTTGTATTTGCCGATGCATGTGTGCATGTGGTTGTGTCTGAACCTGTGTATACACTTGTACATGGTTATGCATCTGTGGGTATGAGAATGTCTGTGGGTACATGTGGGTGTGTGTTGGTGCGCGTGTCTTTTTGCAGGTACACGTGTGCTTGCGTGTGTGCCCATGTGTGATGTGTACGATTCAGAGGTGAGCAGGTGCTAGGCATTGCTAAGTGCCCGCGAATAAGCTCTTGCCCCCAAGAAGTCAGCTAAAGGCTAAATGGGGAATCTTTGTCTTTGTGTGATACAGAGCCACTGAGCCCCATGATGGAGGGAGAGAGAAGTGGACAGGGGGAGAACGAGAGAGTGGCTCAACAAGGTGAGATCATTACTGTTTGCGCCACGGTGGCAAGATGTTAACTCCCTTGCCTGGTACACAGGAGGTTATAGGTTTGATCCCGACACTGATGTCTGTATATTTGGAGTTTTGCATGTTCTCCCCGTGGTCGCGTTGATTTTTCTCCGGGTCCTCTTGTTTTTCCCCTCCATATTTAGAAACATGCGTTTCGAATATCTGGTTGCTATACTGTCAATTTCCACGTAAATAGGCCACTTTGTTGAGCTATCATTTATGGCCAGGTCGCTTCTGCAAAATAGTTGTATCGCTCAACGGGCCTTACCCGGTAAAATAAAAACATTTGTTTTATACTCTTAGGTTTTTTCGGTAAAGTCACGTAGGTAAAAAATAAAATTAAAATTAATAAAAGAAATATTACTTTTATTATTATTTTTATTAATTTAAATTTTATTTTTTACCTACGTGACTTTACCGAAAAAACCTAAGAGTATGAATCCTTGCAGTCACGAAAGCTTCAAATATACATTTGTTTTAGTTTAACCATGGCCAATTGTCTCAGGGGGTTCAAAAAAGCCCGTGTCCGAGCACTGTAACGACGTCGCTGAGATCCTGGGTTTAAATGCGGGTTTTGGACACTCACGATGATGTCCACGTTCTCCGGTTCCAGGTGTGACAGTTGATGGTCGTGGCCAAGTCACCAAGTCACCAGCGACTGCACAAAAAATGCCAATCGTTACATTTGGTGTTGCACTTAATTCGGCGAATATTTACAGCTGTAGAAATTTGAAGCATCGGTTTGACCATCACGCGACAAACATAACCGCGACGCTTTTATTGAATGGGGAAAATCGTTTCACAAAGCACGAACAAAGTGGGTAATATCTGTAATCGTTATTTCATACTTTGCCGTGAAATATATACAAAAAAAAACATCGAACGAGTGATGATAATCATTCGTTGATAAACAGACGATACGAATTATCGTGCACCCTTATGAATGTTGAACTTCTTTCGCGCCATACGTAGCCAACAATGTTAATCGGAGGTGCGGAGGAAGGACAACAAACTAAAAAAAAGCAGTTCTAAAGAAGTGAGTTACCAATCTAGATGCTTTAAAAGTGCATAGCTCCAGTGGCTTCCTAATATCGGAAGGAAGAGCGTTCCAGACGGCCACAGAAGCGCATCTGAAAGCGCGCGATGCAGTGACCGTCTTTGTGCGATGGCTGGACAAGGATGTATATAATCGGACATGTATCGCATTATCGCCGCGTCGTGGAAGTGGTGCTTAATTTCAGCTAGAACAGTCTGGAACCTCGTTCCGGGGATTGTTTTGGCACCCAGCCACATCTGTCTCTAATTATTTTCTCCCAACTCACTTATAAACCTGCTTATACGATTATAGGAATATCCCGTACAATAATATACAACTATTATGATTACAGAGAAACCTTGCTTTGTACTCGAGTGGTTCTGCCTCATGCCGATAATCCCGACTCCAAGCCAGGCTAGCAGCAGGAGCGTTCTGGAAAACACCGCGGTGAGGAATTGAATCCGTGTGCGTGAAATGTTGAGGTTGGGCTCCCAACCTCAACATTTCTCCATTCCCTGGGATCACTGTTTCGTGAATTATGCGGAGCTTCTCTGGGAATGTTCAGGAAGTTAGGCAGGGCAGTCTTGTGGGGGTGGGTGGGGTGGGGGTTTGTAGGGGTGGGATTATTGAGGAGGCGTCCAGTGAAGGAATGTGGGAATGTGTGGGAACCCGTGGCATGATGCATTAATTAACCAAGGAGACCCCACGACTCACAAACACCGCCCCGTAAATCCGCATGCCCGCAGCCATCCAGTCATCTACCACTTGAGATTGTGATAAAAAATGAAGTTTAATAAAGAAAGCACTCGTCTTATATTTATGCGAAGACAAAGACCCCCCTCCCCCCATCACCCTGTGTGGGCTGCACGGATCCTGGGGCAGGTGATATCAGCCGAGTGGTCTGGCTAGTACCCCGCCCGAGTGCTGATGTTTACACACCGCACTAGGTACTCACTTTTAAGGTCTAGTTGACCTCGGAGAGGCCCAGGACCGGTTGAGATATTCTTCACCGATATTGGCCGTGAGCTGAAATTGAACTCGGGTCGCCGGGTTTGTAGAGCAGTGCGTGAACCACTATACCACCACTCCGCATTTAACATACACAAATATACACACAGTCTTATGCAAAGTGTAAATGAATAAAAATAGGTGTGACGAATCCGGAATCTACAGGGTAGTTTCAGACGATCCTCCGACGTGTGTTGTGGTTGTAGTCCCGCATGAAGTTCGGTCACGATTGTCCGACGCTGCGCCCAACACAGCGTGCCGAGCAATACGCAGAGCAACAATAACAACAACACAACAACCCGAGTACACATTGGAGAGCTCTGCCTCCGATTTCCTTCCCCCCGCACCTCCGATTAGTGCAGTTGGCTACGTACGGTGCGCAAGGAGTTCAACGTACACACACGGACACACGGCAGCAGCGTGACCGCAAACACCCGCGCAGAAGTTGAGAGTTTCAGGTTCTCGAGTTAATTCCGGCCACGACTTGCCTCTGCTTACTTGGTGACGGTGCTGCTGCCGCCACTGCGTTGGCAATGGTGCACACGCACAATTAACAACAACAACAACTCAACACGCCCCTCAAAAACAACACTGTGTGTGTGGTCTTAAAAGAAAATATTTAATAGGCGACGTTTGGGGCAGTGGCCCATCTCACAAGCACATACATTTTACGAAGAAGTGCGATTGCCCAAAAGGCCACCTATTTGATATATTTCTTATTTTAAGGCCACCACTATTATTGATGAATGAGTTGAGGTTTTTTTTTGGTATAATTGCTTGAGTTAATATCTGCTTACAGAGACACCGATCACGTCACACCCCCCCCCCCCACCTCGCACTACCTGTACAGCGTGTTATTCGAACGCTACGCTACTCGTGTTTTGTAATTAATCGCTGTCCCCGTTTAAGCCTGGCCATGTAAACCCCACTCAAACCGTACTCGCATAAATGGTGCGGCACATGAATCAATGACGCTGCTCGAAAGAGGAATATATATGTGTATGTAAGTCGTCGTTTCAGACATTGCCCCTACTTGATAGCAGAGAGAAAAGTGAAATAGCGGCGATGGTTACAAAGCCGTCGCTGGGACGGTCAAGCGGCTGGAAGCAGTGATTGTGGGGGTGCTGGCGTTAACATTTCTTAAAATCCTCGTGCGATGATAGACACATGGATGTATAGAGATGTATTGAGAGCAGAGACACGTGGATAAAAGATCGAGCTGCATTGCGATAAGAGGAGAGACACAGATGAGACAGAATGATAGTGAGTGAAATGAGGGATGCCGACAAGAGACGGATGCAGTGAGACGAGACGAGAGAGCCGCAGACAAGATTGAGACGAGAGATTCATTGTCTTGGTATTCATATTCTTGGTTCTTTCGGTAAAGTCACGTAGAAGGGAAATGATAAAATAATGAAAATAATAAAAAATATTATTTCCCTTCTACGTGACTTTACCGAAAGAACCAAGAATATGAATCCCTGCAGTCACGAAAGCTTTAAATCGAAATGTCTTGGTATTATCTTGATTTGAAGCTTTCGTGACTGCAGGAATCCATACTCTTTCGTTCTTTCGATAAAGTCATGTAGGTATAATATAAAATGAATCACGACGCTTCGGGCACCTGATGACGGACGCTTGTGTTGCGCCCGAAACGTTGTGATTTATTTTATTTTATACCTACGTGACTTTACCCAAAGAACCAAAGAGTTTGTCTTGGTATGTTTACGTTATGCTCATGTGTCCGTTTTATATTTATTTGGATCTCCGTTCGAGCTGATATTTGGTGCATTTATATATGTTTCGTTCAAGGAATCCACAGAGCCCCTCGATTCGCTTGGGGGCCCTGCGCTTTTACTTTTACTCTGCTTATGCCTCACGCCGCCAGTGGGCTGGGCGGCTGGAACGGCCTAAGCGGCGTAGGAAATAATACGGATAAATAACGGACTTATTCAACCTCCACCACCACCACCACCACCCACCCACTGCCACTACGGGCGCTACCACCCCCGATAGCCCCCCCTGTAAACAGGTGGGCTCATTGTCCCGCCTCATTAAGCCACTTGATTGTTTTATGTCGCTAATCGGCCACACCTGGGGCCCCACAATCTGTCCGCTTCCACCAAAGACGGCTTGTCATTCAGAGTTTCGTGGGGGTGGCGGTGTCTGCGCTGCACGGTGATCTCTAGCCGAGGATACCCGGGTCCTTGATTCGGCGAATCGGGGGACGGGGCGCGTGGGTCTACAACTCCTGTTTTACGTACGGCTGTTGCCCATCCAGGGCCACCACGGTGGCAAGATGGTTTCTCCCTTGTCTGCTATGCAGGAGGTTGTGGGTTCTATCCTAGCCCTGACGATGCCTGTATATTTGGAGTTTGCATGTTCTCCCCGTGGTCGTGTGGGTTTTTCTCCGGGTCGTCTGTTTTTTTCAGTACATATTTAGCAACATGCATTTCGATTCTTTGGCTGCGATTTATTTCCACGCGATAAGCCACTTCATTGGGCTTTCATTTGTGGTCAGGACGCTTCTGAGAAATAGCTATATAGCTCAGTGGGGCCTTACCTGGTAAAATAAAAAATAGTTTTAGTTAAATCCCAAGCCCTATCCAGGCTAATACCTGCTTAGCACTAACCACGGTAAAGGCCCAGCCCTGCAATGTCTTGCTCATGCCACTGCTGGTGCAGTGGGACCTAAAGAGAGCTCTGCACAGCCGCTTCCAGAGGGGCATTTGGCCTACTTTTTTTCTTTCCCTGCTGGCCAGACGTCTTGGATTAGACGGGGGGGTTCCCCGCAATTGTACCCCAGCGGGCGCGCCTCCCTGCCGACTAAACTACACCGTGCCCGTTAACGTTGCCGGGTAGACGCTGGGACTGCGAGGAGATCGTCTTCATCTGAGGATCGCAATAGGCAGATGTATTGGAA